CTCTGGGGCGCCCCAGAAGCCCTGGGGAAAGTGTGGCCCCTCCTGGGCAGGGGCTCCTGCTGCTCCCTGCTCTGCTCTAAGGCCGCCTGGGTCCCCCCCAATTTCGGTGGTTGCTGCATCTGGGCCCCCCCCGGCCTGCATGGCCCCTGGCACTGGGGCCCAAACGCTGCTTCTGAGCCCCTTCCGCCCCCCAAGGGCCCTCCCACCTGGCCCTCCCTCCCAGGTGTTTTACCCACCCCCACCCCACCCCGGCAGGAACCCCCGTTTCTTGCTCTGCCTGCGAGAGCTGCTTGGACTCAGCCCCCCCCCCTCCCAGAGCATAAGCCGCTCTTGGCTCTGGCACCCCCCCCCAAGAATCTAGAGGGAAGGGGGGGGGCTCTTTGCAGGCACCTGCTGCATTGTGAGCTCTTTGGGCCAGCAGGGGGAGCCCCAGAGTCCTCCTGGCCCGGCTCTCCCACCTGGGCCACCCACCACCAAAGCAGCCTATGGCCCTCCTGGAGGGGGCTCTGCCTGGGGGGGGGGAGCTGCTTTCGGTGTGGAAGGGGTCGGCTGCACTGGCAGGGTGGGAGTCCAGAATATGCCTCTGGGTCCCTCTTGCTCTTAAGGCCCCCCACCCCAATCTGGGCCCCAGGGGGACTCCTGCTGACACCCGGGGGCAAGCCCCCCCCTCCCCAGCCAAAGGAGGACTCGGGGCTGCCTCTCCCTCCGAAGCCTGGCTGGAGGGGTAGGCCGGACACCGCTTTTCTCTCCATTCTCGGGGGTGGGGAGGGGGCTTTCATCTGCACCCCCATTTACAGCCCCCCCCTCAGCTGCTACGGAGGAAGGGCAGCCAGTGCTGCAGAAAGGGGGAAACGCCTCCCCCCAGCTCCCCACTGCTGGGCAGCAGCCTGGCTCAGAACCCCCCCCCCCAGTTGGTGCACTGTTGGAGGAGGGGGAGGAGAGCCACAGGGTGATTTTACAGCCCCCCCCTGCCCTCAGCCGTGTGCTGGCATTGTCTTCTCTGCCATGCAGCCTGGCGTGGGCAGCTGTTGCTTGGCAACCGCCTTCCGCTTCCTTTCAAAGGGACCAGGGCTGAAAAGCCCCCCCCCCCCTCGCCCGCCCGTTCACTGTGGAGAGCGCGATCTGGTACACCTCCCCCCTGCCCCCCTGGCACAGAAGGGGGGGGGAAGGGAGGGCTGCGGCCCCTGGTGGGGGGGTGTCAGAGCCCCTCTCAGGGGGCAACGGTCCCCTGGCCAATGGGGGGGGGCGACTTGCTCCTCTCACCCCCCTAAAAAGGGTGTGGAGAGAAATGAAGAGAGCATATGGAGGGGCCTTGTGGATGCTTCTGACATGGGGGGGGGGCGAGGGGGGATCAGCAAAAAGAAAAGCAATCTCACCAGAGAGGAACCTCCCCCCCCCCCTCTGGCCCTGGACTGCTCCGTCAAGGCTAAACGGGGGGGGGGGGGTGTCGGGGTCTGCTTGGTGGCTTCCCTAGAAAGTCTCTGGCTTGCTTCTCAAGGGGGGGCAGGCAGGGGAGGGAGGGGGGCAGCCCTTAGGCGGTGAGGCATCTGCACTGCCCCCCTCCACCGCAGCCCCCCCCCGCCCTCGATTCTGTCCTGGGCTCATGGGGGAAGCTGGGGGGGGGGGGCAAGAGAGCAGGTCCTCCTGGCTGCTTCTGCCCCAGGGATGCTGGGAAGAGACTCACAGCCCCCAAGACCCCCCCTAGGGAGGCCTGCAAAGCCAGAAGCATAGGGTGGGACGCCCATTTCTCCTTCCTTGCCAGAACCCCCCAGGGTCCCATGGGGAAGCCGTGGGCAGCCCCACCCCCAGGAGACCCTTTCAGGCATGGGGGCTGGCCCGTGTGCCCCCCCCCACGGTCACAAGGCTCCTGAAAGGCCCCCCCCCCAGGGCAGCAATGGATTCTCCCAACCACAGCGCATGCTCCCCCATCACTCACCTTGTAGACCTGGCCATAGGTGCCATTGCCAACCACTTCCACCAGCTCAAATATGCCGGCCGGATCCTGCGGAGGGAAGGAGGCGCCGGATGAGACCCTGGCAGCTGCCCGGAGGCCAAGGGCACCTCCTGCCCATCCAGGCCTCGGCCAACAGGGGGGAGGAGGCCGCGGGTGTCCCATCTCTGGACAAGGGGCAGGCCTACTGCTGAGCCCGCTGGGGTGGCCTGGGTCTGCCAAGGCTGCCCACTCAGGAAGTGCCCACAATAGAGAATGGGCGTGAGAGGTGCGTCTGTGTGCCTGGGGAGGCAAAACAGCTGCGAGCTCCCTACACAACTCCCCCCCCCTGCAGTCTTGTGCATCTTGCCCTAAGAGACCCCCCTGCACCTCCCCTCGGCTACCTGCAGAGGCCCTTCCGTGGGGGCACCTCCTGTCTCGGCCCCGTTCCTGAGCAACAGCAAGGAAGGGCAGTCGGGGGGGGGGGCAGAGGCCAAAGAAGAGGGCTGCCCCACAGTGGACACTGTCCTCGTCTCTGCCCCAAAACTAGTTCTGCCTAGGGCGCCTCACCCCCTCCTGGTGCAGCCCAGGGACTCCATCTCCTGCCCCCCCCCCTCCAGCTGACTCCAGCCTTTGTCCCTGGGCAGCCGGGGAGGGGCCGTGGGGTTCTGTCCCTCCCGGGCTTCCTGTGACCCCAACTGGCCTCCTGCTACACCTTGGCCCCGTT